TGCGCCCGGCTGCCAAGCATTTTAAATAGAGCTATGTATTTGTTTCATATTTTACTTTTTATTTATTTATTTATTTATTTATTTATTTATTTATTTATTTATTTATTTTTGAGACGGAGTTTCGCTCTTGTTGCTCAGGCTGCAGTGCAATGGCGCGATCTCTGCTCACTGTAACCTCCGCCTCCCGGGTTCAAGCGATTCTCCTGACTCAGCCTCCCGAGTAGCTGGGATTACAGGCGTGCACCACCACCCCGGCTAATTTTGTATTTTTAGTAGAAACGGGGTTTCTCCATGTTGGTCAGGCTGGTCTTGAACTCCCGACCTCAGGTGATCCTCCCACCTCGGCCTCCCAAAGGGCTGGGATTACAGGCGTGAGCCACCACGCCTGGCCTGTTTCATATTTTAAAATCGTGTACACAAAGGCTCTGATTTAATGACTGAGACATGATAGCTCCTCAGTAAGTGACAGCTGCCAGTATTATTGTTGGGTGCGTAGTGCAGACCCCTTTGATCCTGGGGTTGGAAGCAGCAGGGAAAAGGGCCTGGGCATGCTCAGGCACCCTGTCCCCCAAGAGGATGAACACTCCTTGGGCCTCCACAAAGGCAGCATTAGAAGGCATGCCTATCCTGAAAAATGCCCCCGAGCAGGAGAGGGAGGGACCAGGGCGGATCATTGGAATCTGGTTTTCCAGAAAGGCAGCTTGGAAAAAGATTTATTGGGCAGACACACCTGGTATACTCAGGATGTCCTGCCCTGACTCTGGGGACAGGACATGGGGAGGAGGCTCCCGTCAAGCTTCTGGAGCCCTGTGAGGTCAGGAGCTCCCCGTAGCTTGCACTCTGCCCTCCACTGTTTTATGGTCAGTCTAAAAGGCCAGCTGGCACAATGGGAAGCACACCAGCCTCCTTCCCCAGCTGACCTTTCCCAGCTGCCTCAGTGGTCCCAACCTGTCAGATACATGAGTGGGACAAGAAGACCTGAAAAGCCCCTTCCAGCGTTGACATCTTAGGATCACTTTGCTTCATGGCTCTTGTCTGCCTAGACGCTGTTCTAGATTTTGAGGGAGCAGCTGTGAGCTCCCCAGGCACAACCCCTTCTTTCGCAGTTTGTGGGTGCTGGAGAGACAGAAAATAAACACATCAATAAACAGATAAAGATCCTTTTGGGCGCTGGCAAGTGCAGTTGGAGATACAATCAGGTGTCAGGGTAGCACGATGGAGGGCGGAGGGTGGAGAAACATAAGGGATAGTGGTCAGGGAGGGACTCTGAGGAGGTGACACTGGAGTTGAGACCTGGATGACATGAACAACACACGCTTAGGGTCAGGTGCGGTGGCTCACACCTGTAATCCCAACACTTTGGGAGGCTGAGACAGGCGAAACACTGGAGCTCAGGAGTTTGAGACCAGCCCTGGCAACATGGCAAAATCCCCACTCTACCAAAGGATACAAAAAAATTAGCTGGGCGGACCACGCCTGTGGTTCCAGCTACTCAGGAGACTGTGGTGGGAGGATTGCTTGAGCCTGAGAGGAGGAGGTTGCAGTGAGCTGAGATTGGGCCACTGCCCTCCAGCCTAGGTGATAGAGTGAGACACCGTCTCAAAACAAACAAACAAACAAACAAACAAACAAACAAACAAACAAAACCACTCTTGAAACAGCTTGGTTGAAACAGCTTGAACAGCATGGGGGAAGGGTGTTACAAACCCAGGAAGGACAAACGCAAGGGTCCTGAAGGACACATGTTCTGGGTACAGCGAGGAGGTCAGAGTGGCTGGAAAAAGGTGTTGGGCAGGCATGGTCTTGTAGCCATAATAAATCCTTGGATTCGTTTCTGTTTTCTTTCTTCTTCCTTTTTTTTTTTTTTTTTTGAGACAGACTATCTCTCTGTTGTCCAGGCTGGAGTGCAATGGCGTGATCATGGCTCACTGCAATCTCCACCTCCCCGGTTCAAGCGATTCTCCTGTCTCAGCCTCCTGAGTAGCTGGGATTACAGGCACGCACCACAACGCCCTGCTAATTTTTGTATTTTTAGTAGAGACGGGGTTTTACCATGTTGGTCAGGCTGGTCTCGAACTCTGGATCTCATGATCTGCCTGCTTTGGCCTCCCAAAGTGCTGGGATTACAGGCATGAGCCACCGTGCCTGGCCCTTGGATTCATTTCTTTTTTTTTTTTTTTTTTGAGACGGAGTCTCGCTCTGTCGCCAAGGCTGGAGTGCAGTGGCCGGATCTCGGCTCACTGCAAGCTCTGCCTCCCGGGTTCCCGCCATTCTCCTGCCTCAGCCTCCCGAGTAGCTGGGACTACAGGCGCCCGCCACCTCGCCTGGCTAGTTTTTTGTATTTTTTAGTAGAGACGGGGTTTCACCGTGTTAGCCAGGATGGTCTTGATCTCCTGACCTCGCGATCTGCCCGTCTCGGCCTCCCACCTGGGACTCATTTCTAAGGACAACATCATTTTAAGCTCTGGTGAACTTTAAGCAGGGGAGTGGCCGGATTTGATTTTTTTTTTTTTTTCCCTCTGTGTCTTAGGAGAGTGGGTCCCCAGGAGTTACTTGCTCCTTGCCTTGCAGGACTTGGGGTGGGGTCAGGCATGGGGGATGCCCCAGCAGTGAGAACTGAGCTTCCTGTGTGGGTGGCCCCTAGTTAGCAACCCCAGTGAGTACAAATCCTTCCCCGGAACCTCTCCTCCTCGCCGGGTCCCACCCCTGGTCCAGGAGAACCAGTTCTTCAGCCCAATGAACACCTATCAAGAGTCATGCGTCTACGTTTTGGTCATAGCTGGGGAGTGCCACATCTACATCCTCATGCCTAATCCCGTCCCTGTCCCTGCCCCAGCCACATTCACATCCTCAGCGTCCCTGCCTCCATCTCTGTCTCCCTCAGGAACCTCATTCCCATCCCAGACTGGAGCCCTGAGCAAACCCAGGGCCACGCTGAGATTTGGATTGGAGGAGACCTCTTGGTAGCGGGCTATGACTCAGTTTGCCCGGTCCACTGCCCTGCTTCTCACCAAGCCTCAGCAGCCCCCTGGGGACACAGGGCAAAGGGGAGAGATTAGAAAGCAGGAGGCTGGGAGAATTTGCATCTTAAGATTTGCATCCTCAGGCTCCCAGCATCCTCCAAGAGTCATCAAGGTGGTTGAGGAGGGAGAGCCCAGGAGGGAGATCCAGCTGGACAGCTTCTGTCTGCAGCCCAGGACAGCCAGCCCTGCCACCCAGAGCTAGGCACGACCCTCATCCTCAGCCTTCTCCCCTCTCCTCCCTCCCTCCCCACCCAACCCTTTCCCCTCCCCCACACCACGCCTTGCCCCTTCTCTCACCCTGAGCCCAAGTCAGCTCTCTTCGGATCTTCACCATAACTCCAAAGCCATCATTGATTCAATCCCCATTCCTGACCTTGTCCTTGACATTAACCCATTGAACTATGTTTTCAGTGTGTCCCAGGTACAAAGTATGACACCAGGAGATGGGGACAAAACCAAAAAAAAAATATGGACTAATTTATTAGAGAAAACAGACATCAATCAAAGATGTTAGCTATAGTGCTGCGAGAGCCATGTATAGTGAAATTTGGCCTTCCTCAAAAAAGCAATTATTGAGCTAAGATCAGGAGGAAGAGGAAACATGACCTCAGTTCTAGAGGTAGAGAGGGAACAGCATGTGCCAAGACCCTGGGGTGCCGAGGAGCTGACTTTACTTCCTTCAGGTCTTTACTCAAAAGTCCACTTCCCAAGGAGCCCTTCCTTGGCCATTCTATATCTAAAATTTGCTCTTCTTTTATATTACTTTATTTTTTTTTTGAGATGGAGTTTTGCTCTTATAGCCCAGGCTTGAGTGCAATGGCACGAACTTGGCTCACTGCAACCTCCGCTTCTCAGGTTCAAGTTATTCTCCTGCCTCAGCCTCTGGAGTAGCTGGGGTTACAGGCATACACCTCCATGCCCAGCTAATTTTGTATTTTTAGTAGAGATGGGGTTTCTTCATATTGGTCAGCCTGGTCCGGAAATCCTGACCTCAGGTGATCCGCCTGCCTCAGCCTCCCAAAGTGCTGGGATTACAGGCATGAGCCCCCGCGCCTGGCACTCCTCTATCTTTTATACTATCCTTCCCTGTTTTCTTTTTTCTCTTTAGCACTTATCACTATTTAGCATACTATTTAATGTATTTGGTTACTAGGTAATATTGTCTGTTTCCCTCACTCAAGGCAAGCTCCATGAGTGCAGGGGTTTGCTTTGATCGCATTGTATTTTCAGGACCTGACACAGTGCTGAACACAGAGTAGGGGCTCGGCCAGTGTCTGCTGATGAATGAATGAAAGGCACGTGGTCCCAGACAGAAAAGAGCAAAGGGGATGTGAGGGGTGAAGCCAATCAGGCAGGCCACGGGGGCCATGGGAGGGGATGGTGTCACTGTTCCAAAGGCAAAGAGGAGCCACTGCCAGGCTTGATCAGGGTTGGGAGGAGGGGGCATAGAGGGTGATGTGAACAGATTTGGGTCTGGAAAAGATCATTTCAATCCCCAACTCCAGCCACATCCGTGTCCCTAACCTAAATCTGAATTGCAGTTTCCACCCCATTCTACATCCAGTCTGGAACCTACTGGAACTTTCTCTTCATCTCACAATCCCAGCCCCCTCTAACCCTAACCTGGCCTGGGCACTGAGTGACCTTCCTTCGATGGCGATGGAAGCGTGCCATCAGTGAGGAAAGCGGGGCTGTGCTTCCTGGTTGACAGGAGCTGCCCCTGGGAGACGACAGGGAAGAGGACAGGTCCAGAAAAAGGGGATAGGAAGGTGCTCGCCTCCTCACTCTCCCTGGGTCCCAAATCCTATCTTTGGAGAGTCTGTCTCTGACTCTCTCATCATTGTTCTTCACCTGACTGCTAACACCTTCTCCCTATCCTGCAGCTCTGACTTCTGTGATTCTAGCAGAAACTAGTTCCCAATCCCAACCTCCCACCCACGACAGGCTTATTTTCTTCAGAACACTTAGTATCCAAAATTATAGTGAACAAATTCTTGTTTACTGTTTCTTTCACTTCTTTCCCAGCTATTCAGTAAGCTCCACGTGTGTTTCATTTCTTCTCTGCGTCTGCAGTGCCCGGAACGCCGTGCATCGTGCTCACTACGTATCTGTGGGAAGGAGGGAGGGAGGAATGTCCTGGTTCCCAACAAACCCCGTTCCACAGGAGCCCAGCCCTGACTCCAGCCCTCTTCCTAGCTTCATTCTTTTTTGGGAGGGAAGTGAGGGTATGTACTTTATGAAATTAAAGGATAACACATAATGAAATGAATGAAGTACCCTAGAAGCCCCTCAGATCAAGATAAGAACACTTCCAGCAGCCTATATGGCTTCCCTCTGCCAGAGATACTCACCACTGGGGATTGTCTAAGAATTGCTCAGTTTCACTGGTCCTGGAAAGTTCCTATCAATGGAATAACAGAACGTATCCTCTTTAATGTCTGGCTCTTTTCGCTCAATATCATCTTTGTGAGACTCATCCGCATTGCAGTTCATTCTTTCTTTTTATTCCTGGGTAGAATTCTATTTTATGATTATACCACAAAATATTGATCATATTAATCCATTATTTAACTTAATTCTTCTTCTTCTTCTTTTTTTTTTTTTTTTTTGGAGATGGAGCCTCACTCTGTTGCCTAGGCTGGAGTGCAGTCACACGATCTCAACTCACTGCAACCTCTGCCTCCTGAGTTAAAGTGATTCTCCTGCCTCAGCCTCCCGAGTAGCTGGGACTACAGACGCCCGCCACCACGCCTGACTAATTTTTGTATTTTCAGTAGAGACGGGGTTTCGCCATGTTGGCCAGGCTGGTCTCGAACTCTGAGCTCAGGCGACCCACCCGCCTTGGCCTTCTAAAGTGCTGGGATTACAGTGAGCCACCACACCCAGCTATTTAACTTAATTCTTATGCCCCAGATTTCACTCTGTCTTCTAGTTTAGGTTTTTTTTTTTTTTTGTCTTCTGATTTTATATCCAACTCCAATCCCTCCCCAGTGGATCCTGGCCCTGCAGGAAGCAACAGATCCTCTTCTGCTACCCTGATCATCCCTCCCTGCAGCGTCTTCAGGCCTTTCTGCACCCATGTGGTCCCTGAGCCCTAGCTTCAACACCTCCCACCCTTCCTGTCACAGACTCTGGGCCCTGGGGCAGAAGGACGGGCCAGCTTTCTCACTGCGGCCACTACCTGCCCCATTTCCCAGAGAGGAATGGTCTGGCGGCCAGCCAGCTGTGCAGCGAATTAGTACCCTCCCCCTCCCCTCCCCCGCCCACCAGGAGCCTCAGAACCAATGCAGGTCACTCACTGCCCATGGCCCTGCTTAGCAGGGGTGCCCGACACTGCAGCCAATGGGGACTGGCAGGAGGAAGGAGCTTATTAGTCTGATAAAGATCTGGGGGCCCCACCCTGTCCCCTCCCGCAACTTCCCTAGGGCCCTGGCTCAGGCTGGACTGGCTCCCCCACCCTGAAGGTGCCTTCATCCAAGGCATCTTCCATCCGCCCTTTCAGAGGCAGGCCCAGGGCCCTGCCTGCTCTTCCTCTCTGCCAGCTCCCAGAAGGCTTGGAGCCCAGACACCAGCTCACCTGCCACCAGCTGGGCCCCGCCCGGGCCTGCCCAGCACGCACCCCGGCCGCCAAGGGCAGCAGCTTTTCCAGGATTTGGCCGGCAGGCCCAGTCACCCCACCTCGCCACCTTACCACTCCGCCTCGGAAGCCAGCCCTGTCCACTCCACTCTGTGCCTGGCTTCTCTTGCCTGCCTTGGGCCTTCGTGTGGCCCCTCCACGGTGTCTGGGACTGAGTGCCCCTCTTGCCTCCTGAAGAGCAGCCATGGCCACCTACAAAGTCAGGGTGGCCACAGGCACCGACCTCTTGTCGGGAACACTGGACTCCATCTCACTGACAATTGTGGGGACGCAAGGAGAGAGTCATAAGCAGCTGCTGAACCACTTTGGGAGAGACTTTGCAACTGGGGCAGTAAGTGTGTGTGTGTGTGTGTGTGTGTGTGTGTGTGTGTGTGTGTGTGTGTGTGTCTTTGTGGTCCCGGGAGAGGTGAAGGTGCGCAGGGAGAGCCAGGTGAGCTGAGCTTGGCCAGGAGAGGCTAGAGAGCCAGGGCACAGCTCTAAAGACAGTGGGCTCCCCAGGTGGCTCTAGACGCCTTGTCCAGAGCTGGCTTCCAGCCCTCGCCCATGTCCCAGATCTCTGGGCCATCCTTCTCCATCCTGCTCCCTCATCTCTAACCCTTTCAGGCATTCCTCATTTCCTTCCCCATCCTTTTCTTCTCTCTCCCTCTTCCTCAGCCCTCTCTCCCTGTCTCTGCCTATCCTGCATCCCCTCTTTTCTCAGTCCTTTCCACCTGCTTTCCTTCCCCTCCGCTCTCCTCCCGTTTCTGTCTTACCCCCTCTCCCGCATCCCTCTGTCTTCCATTCTCACTCACTCTTCCTAACTCAGCTGCCTCCTAACTGTTTCCCATTTGATTGGATTCTCTGTGATTTACAATGGCATCAGACCAGCCTGTCTAGTGGAAGGCATGCTTTGTGGGCCCTCAGACCTGATTTTGAGTCAGGCCCAGCCACCTGCTGCTATGCGACCTTAATAGGTCACTCTATCTATGTGGCCATTCTGAATAGCTGCATCTTCATTGATGAATGGGAGAAAGGGCTGGCTGGACCTCTCCCCACTCAAAAACTGCAGAGTGGTACCCAAGTCCCCAGGGGTCTGAAAGTTCCTGTAACCTTAGGTGCCTGGAGAGGGGAGTGGGAGAAGACAGGAGCTGGGGATGGAGAGAAGGAGGGGCTGGAGTTCTACGCAGCCCTAGGTAGAGGGACTCAGTAGGAGACCCCCAGGTTGGAGGAGTCAGAAGGAAGCTCAACGATCAGGTCAAAATCCTGTCTCTCTGTCAGTCCAGGGAGGTGAACGTTGCGCAGCATGAGCAGGGCCTGGGTGAGAGGCCAGAGGGGTGGGCGGCCTGGGAGTCAGGGTGAAGTCCTGCCCACTCAGCCAGCCCCTCATCCTGCCTAGGTGGACCAGTACACCGTGCAGTGCCCGCAGGATCTGGGAGAGCTCATCATCATCCTCCTGCACAAAGAGCGCTACTCCTTCTTCCCCAAGGACCCTTGGTACTGTAACTACGTGCAGATCTGTGCCCCCAATGGCCGTATCTACCACTTCCCCGCCTACCAGTGGATGGATGGCTACGAGACCCTGGCACTCCGGGAGGCCACAGGTGAACCCTCATCACCCTGCTCCATCCTATGGCCGTGAGGCCTCGCGCTCCAGTCTGCTACCCTGGCATGGCACCCAGGCTCCCATCAAGCCAGGAGGGGCCCAGCCCCACCAGGGACTCCTGGGCTCTCCTGCCACTGTCACACATTTCCCTCAGTCAGTGCTGCTACTCTGGGCTCAGCTTGGGGCTGCACACCAGAGGAACAGAGGTGTCTGAGGCCCAGTGGCTCCCCTCAGCATCCCCATCTGGCAGCAGACAGCATTCCCAGAGTGCGCTCCCCGCTATGTCTCCAGTCCTCCCTGACTCCTACAAGATGCCTGGCCACTCTAAAAAGACCCCTTGTGATGCTAAGTACAGGCTCAGGACTCTCACAGGAGGCCTATTTATATGCCAATCATATGCGCTCCAAAAAGACTCCCTGTTACTCCAGCAGGATTCTGTTACTATCACAGGATGCCCCATGATTCCAACCAGCACCTTGTATCCCATTTAGAAGCCCTTTGAGTTCAACAGGTCTCCATGGTAATGTGGTCTTATAATTATGATGCCCTGGCTTTCTTTTTTTGAGATGGGGTTTCACTCTTGTTGCCCAGGCTGAAGTATAATGGCACAATCTCGGCTCACTGCAACCTCGACCTCCCGGGTTCAAGCGATTCTCCTGCCTCAGCCTCCTGAGTGGCTGGGACTACAGGCGTGCACCACCATGCCTGACTGATTTTTGCATTTTTAGTAGAGATGGGATTTCACCATGTTGGCCAGGCTGGTCTCGAACTCCTGACCTCAGGTGATCTGCTTGCCTCAGCCTCCCAAAGTGCTGGCATTATAGGCGTGAGCCCTGGTTTTCTAACTGAGCATTTTTTAGACTAATGGGATGTTCTGTTGCTCCAAAGGACTCCCTATTTTCCCAATAGGACACCACATTTCTCTAACAGGATGAACTGTTACTCCAAAAGGCCCCCCTTAATCCAGTAAGGATCTATCCAATAGAGGCCCTGTTATTCAGATAGACTGTCAAGGTTTCTCCAAGGTTAAGGCTGGCTAAGGCTGCCCAGCGGTTATTCCAGTTGCCTGGTTACTCCCATGGGAGAGACACAGGACCTGAGTGGCTGAGCTCCTTGCACCCACCCCTGCCAGAGTCCCTTGTGTGGTGGGCCGGGGTCAGGTTCCTAATTTGTGGTGCTACATGGGGACTGGAGGCCTGTCCTCTGTTATCCCCCAGTTCTACCACCTGAGTGTCTGTTGGCTTCCCTTGAGGCGAGTAGGAGGGAAAGGCAGAGCTGAGGACACCCAGGGCCTGAAGCCCTATCCTCCCTGCGGCTGACTACCTCTCTTCCGTTTCTCATTGCCCTGTGCTGGAATCTTCCCCCAGGAGTGGGGAACAGGCCCTGAGTTGGGGAAAAGAGAGGCAAAGAAAGCCTGGGAGATGGTGAGCATGCCAAGGGGAGGGTCTCACTGGGGACACAGAGCATCTTACTGCAGTGACAGGTCTGGGTGACATGGAAGCAGGGGACAGGCTGGGTGATGCTGGTGGCCAGGCAGGAATGGGGTTGGGTGGGGCCGCTGCCACGCAACAGGACAGGGAGACTTGAGTCACCCATAGGGCCCTCAAAGGAGTGAGGCTCCCGCCCTGGGGATGAAAACGAGCTGGGTCTCTGGGTTGCATAACTCCAGGGAGCGCCGTTCATCCAGAATACAATATGAGCTGAGGCAGGTGGAAGAGGGAGCGGGTGGTGAGGTGAGGGCCTTGAGAGGAAATGATGGGCTGCAGCGGTAGGCACAGGCCAGTCTGGGGACCACCAGCCAGGGTGCTGGAGAAAGACAGACCTGGACTCGGGTCTCAGTTCTTCCACCGACTAGCTGGACATTTGGCATTTGGGCACATTTCCAAATTCTACTTCTTCTTTTTTTTTTTTTTTTGAGACGGAGTCGCACTCTGTCGCCCTGGAGTGCAGTGGCAAGATCTTGGCTCACTGCAACCTCCGCCTTCCAGGTTCAAGTGATTCTCCTGCCTCAGCCTCCTGAGTAGCTGGGACTACAGGCGGTGCCACCACACCCAGCTAATTTTTTGTATTTTTAGTAGAGACGGGTTTTCACCGTGTTAGCCAGGATGGTCTCGATCTCCTGATCTTGTGATCCACCCGCCTTGGCCTCCCAAAGTGCTAGGATTACAGGCGTGAACCACCACACCTTGCCACATTTCCAAATTCTTCTAAGCCTTGGTGCCCTCATCTGTAAAATGGAGATAACAACAGAACCTACTTCATAGGGTGGATGTGATAATCCAGTAAGATGACATCTGAATGGAGTTTTTTTTCTTTTTTTGGGATGGAGTCTCGCTCTGTCACCAGGTTGGAGTGCGATCTCGGCTCACTGCAACCTCCGCCTCCTGGGTTCAAGCGATTTTTCTGCCTCAGCCTCCTGAGTAGCTGGGATTACAGGTGTGCACCACTGTGCCTGGCTAATTTTTGTATTTTTAGTAGAGATGGGGTTTCACCATGTTGGTCAGGCTGGTCTTCAACTCCTGACCTCATGATCCATCTGCCTCAGCCTCCCAAAGTGCTGGGATTACAGGCATGAACCACCGCACCTGGCCTGAATAGAGTTTTAAAAGGCTTAACAACTGTTGGTGGTCAGAAGCAGCCTGCCACGGTGCAAATCCAGCCTTGTCCCCAGGTAATATGTAATAGCGGCTGTTTCTCTTTGTAAAATGGGCATGGTGATACAGTCCTTTAGCTGAAACTGTTGACTCCAGGGGTGTTTTGAAATTCAGATTTTATTGAGAAGCTACACACACATGTATCTGTACACATGTGTATGTTTATATAAAATATGTATATATACATATACATATTTTCATCTATAAATCTATATCACACACATACCCCTTATATTATGTGCTATATCTACCACAGGGCACCCCAATCAAATATACTAACACTTCCCAGCAACAACTATGAATAGTTACACTGAATGAGTTAAATAAAGATTGTATATAGCCTCAGGGAGATTCACAGCAGATTCTGTCAACCAATGAATTTGTTGTGGAACAGTCAAACAGACAAACAAACTTGATTTCCACAGCTTTCTGTACTTTGGGGTTGTAGAGAAGGGGTCAGGAGCCTATAGTAATAGTCACCTGTCTCATAGGGTACTTCTTAGGCTTAGATTAATAAAAGTAAAGTGTCTATAAAGTGCCTGGTGTTGGGGACCAGCTTCAACACCACCCGTAGGGTACTCAACATCTGGTGGCAATGAAGGAATGAGAAGAGACAGGTTAAGAGTGCATAAAGAGTGGGGGCCAGGGGGCCAGTTGCAAAATGGAGGCTGCAAAAGGACCAGAGTTCTGGTCTCCACACTATTTATTGAGTACAATCACTTAGACCTAAGAAGCAGATGTTCAGGGCGAAACAGTGAAAGGGAGGCAGTACGTCATAGGCGTAATCTATAGCAATAGCGGTTTAAGTGAATCTCCTTTGTGTTCAAACAGCGTATCTTTAACTTATCGGACAGCAGCTAGTGGGAGTGGGCTTAACTAGGAGCCTGCACGTCTGTCCACATTCCTGTGTTTCAAAGGAGTGTCTTTCTCCTTCAACACAGTGTTTACAGATAAGAGAGCTTATAGATAAGTTGTGCTCAGAGCATGGGAACATAATGGCAATAACGCTTTCCTCCTTAGAGGCTTCTTGTGACTTTCCACAACTTAGTGTCCCATTTTTTTTTTTTTTTTTTTGAGACATAGTCTCACTGTGTCGCCCAGGCTAGAGTGCAGTGGCGCCATCTCGGCTCACCGCAAGCTCCGCCTCCCGGGTTCACGCCTTTCTCCTGCCTCAGCCTCCCGAGTAGCTGGGACTACAGGCGCCCGCTACCACGCCCGGCTAATTTTTTTTTGTATTTTTAGTAGAGAAGGGGTTTCACCATGTTAACCAGGATGGTCTCGATCTCCTGACCTCGTGATCCGCCCACCTCAGCCTCCCAGAGTGCTGGGATTACAGGCATGAGCCACCATGCCAGGCCGTGTCCAATATTTTTATGGCCAGTTTATACAGGAACCCCACAAGCACTTTTCCCAACACCTAGGACCTAGTAAGTGCTAAACAACTGTCAGTTCTTAATATTTCAGTGGTATCTACTCAAAGGAAAAGAAATCAACATATCAAAAAGATGCCTTATTTATCGTGGCACTATTCACACTAGCAAAGATATGGAATTACCCTAAGTGCCCCAATGGATGACTGGATAAAGAAAATGGGGTATATATACACAGTGGAATACTATTCAGTCAGGAAAAAAATGAAATCATGTCATTTGCGGCAACATGGATAGAACCGGAAGTCATTATCTCAAGTGAAACAAGCCAGACCAGAAAGTCAAATACCAAATGTTCTCACCCATAAATGGGTGTTAAAAAATGTGTACACATGGGCCAGGCGCAGTGCCTCACGCCTATAATCCCAGCACTTTGGGAGGCAGAGGCGGACAGATGACCTGAGCTCAGGAGTTGGAGACCAGCCTGGACAACATGGCGAAACTGCGTCTCTACTAAAAATAAAAAAAGTAGCTGGGTGTGGTGGCAGGCGCCTGTAATCTCAGCTACTTGGGACACTGAGGCAGCAGAATCTCTTGAACCCAGGAGGCAGAGGTTGCAGTGAGCTGAGATCGTGCCATTGCATTCCAGGCTGGGCGACAAGAATGAAACCCCATCTCAAAAAAAAAAAAAAATGTGTACACATGGACATAGCAAAATAATAGACAATGGAGACTCTGAAGGGTGAGAGGATGGAAGGGGGTGGATGATGAGAAATTACTTAACGGGTACAATATACATTATTTGGGTGATGGGTATCCTAAAGCCCTAACTTGGCCGCTATGAAATCTGTGCATGTAACGAAATTGCTCTTGTGCTCCATGAATTTATAGAAATAAAAAAATATTTCAGTGGGTCTAGAGGAGGGACTTTTTGCAGCAGCAGAGCTCAGCTTGAGGGTAGAGCAAGAGGAAAGAGTGTGGGTCCATGATCCTTTTATCTGAGATTTTGGGACGGGGCACTCCTTCATTCTCCCAGGGTGAGCCTTCCCACTCCTTGGTCATGGGCAACCCCCAGAGCCGACCTGGGGCACAGAAGCTGTACTCCTGCTTCCGGAAGTAGGCAGGGGTGGGCAGGGGCAAGGGTCAGCCCTTGAGTCCCCTCGTTGGTCTCCCTACAGGAAAGACAACAGCAGACGACTCACTCCCTGTCCTCCTGGAGCACAGAAGAGAGGAGATCAGAGCCAAGCAGGACTTCTACCAGTGAGGGGGCGGGTGGCAGGGGTCCAGGGAGGTGGGGGGCAGTGATGGCTCTGGCCCTTTGCCCTGGGGTGGTGTACGGGCATGAGGGTCACATCTCGGTTTCCCTTGCAGCTGGCGAGTCTTTCTTCCTGGCTTACCCAACTATGTGCACATTCCCAGTTACCGCCCTCCGGTCCGGAGGCATCGTAACCCCAACCGGCCTGAGTAAGGACCCGAAGCTGTGCTGGGCCCCTCCCATGGCTTTCCCCTGGACGCCTGCCTCCTCCCCGCCCCTTGGATCCCAGCTGCCCTGCGCTTCTCCCCACAGGTGGAATGGCTATATTCCGGGATTCCCAATTCTCATCAACTTTAAGGCCACCAAGTTCCTGAACTTAAATCTCCGCTACTCCTTCCTCAAGACAGCCTCCTTCTTCGTCCGCCTGGGGCCCATGTGAGTGTGTATGAGTGACGGGAGAACAGGGCTCCTGCAAGGACTGTTCCTCTCCCCCGACCTTGGCGGCCTCCAAGACAACCCCAGAGGTTGGAATGGCCAGGAAGCCAGAGGGAGCTGAAACACAGACCCAGAAAACCCGAGAGATGATCCCAGAGACCTAGAGATGTAAAGATCTTGAGACATGGGACCCAGAGACTTTGCGACGCACAGACTCTGAGACCCAGAGTCCTAAGTGGGTGGGGCGGCCCCGCCACCCGCCACTCGCCACCCACCCCAGCCGACCATTGGCAGACCCCTCTGACGGCCTCTCCCTGGAATCCCATCTTCTAGGGCACTGGCTTTCAAAGTCCGCGGCCTGTTGGACTGCAAACATTCGTGGAAGAGGCTGAAGGACATTAGGAAAATTTTCCCTGGGAAGAAATCTGTCGTCTCCGGTATGGAATGGGGCGTCCAGATCCAGCAGAGGGAGTCAGGTGGTCTCCAGCGTGCTAGGCAGGCCCCCCACATGGGGGCAGTGGGACCTGAGAGGCAGCGAGGCGCGCGCGCGCGCCCTCTGGCGGCTTCTTGGAAAACGTCGCCCCGGGCTCCTCCCGCCGCTCAACGCGAGGCTGGGGGCTTCGTTTTCCTCCCCGAGTCCTCTCGGTGCCCATGGTCTTCTTCTGTCCCATGCCTCTCCGTCCCCGAGGGGGGTCGGGACGCCTTGTGACGCCCTCGCGCCGTTCTCGCAGAGTACGTGGCCGAGCACTGGGCAGAGGACACCTTCTTTGGGTACCAGTACCTCAACGGCGTCAATCCCGGCTTGATTCGCCGCTGCACGCGGATCCCAGACAAGTTCCCCGTCACAGACGACATGGTGGCTCCGTTCCTGGGCGAGGGAACATGCTTGCAAGCGGAGCTGGAGGTGAGGCCTGCTCCGGCGGAGACCCCGGCCCCCGTCCTGGCCTCCCTCGCGGGCATCCCCGTCTCTCCCCACCTGCGGCGCCCGCGCCAGTCCCAACCACGCCCGCACCCCGCGTCCCTGTCTCCGTCCCACCCCTGCCCCTGGTCGCCAGCGCCTTCTGCACCTGCGGCTCGGGTCACGGGTGCCCCGTGTAGGTGCCTACTTGCCACCCATCGCGGCTCCCCTCCAGAAGGGGAACATTTACCTGGCCGACTATCGCATCATGGAGGGCATCCCCACCGTGGAGCTCAGCGGCCGGAAGCAGCACCACTGCGCCCCACTCTGCCTGCTGCACTTCGGACCCGAGGGCAAGATGATGCCCATCGCCATCCAGGTGCCTAGGCTGTAGGCGGCGCTGCCGCTGAGCCTCTGTGTGCGCGAATGTTCCTCCGAGTGCGCGCGCGCTTATGTGAGCGTGTGGACCCTGTGTGTATTCAGCCGTCTCTTGGTATCCTTGAGAGAGTGGTTTCAGGACCTCCCTGGGATGCCAAAATCTGCAGATGCTCAAGTTTCTTATATAAAATGTCCCAATATTTACATATGACTTACACACATCTTCTTGTGTGTTGGGATCACAGGCGTGAGCCACCGCGTCTGGCCCGGGCATATTTTTCGAATTCACACAAAAGCCCAGTAGGGCCTGGGAGCAGCTCAGGTTTGTATGCCCCAATAGGCTTAGGTGGAGATGCACCTTGCAAGGCGCAAGGACCGCCTTGGCAGTTCCCTGCCTCTCACCTGCTTGCTGTCTTGGTCCCCTCAGGTGCAGAAGTACACGGTGCGCTGCTCAGCGGAGCTGGGTGAGCTCTTGCTGCTGCGTGTACACAAGGAGCGCTACGCTTTCTTCCATGTTGCACTCCTGGGCTCAAGCGATTCTCCCGCCTCGGCCTCCCAAAGTGCTGGGACTACAGGTGTGAGCCACCTCGCCCGGCCATCTTGTGTATTTTAAATCCTCTCTAGGCTGGGCGTGGTGGCTCACGCCTGTAATCCCAGCACTTTGGGAGGCTGAGGTGGGCAGATTACCTGAGGTCAGGAGTTCAAGACCAGCCTGGCCAACAAGGGGAAGCCCCATCTTTACTAAAACTACAAAAATTAGCTGGGCATGGTGGGGGGGGGCACCTGTAATATTCGGGAGGCTGAGGCAGGAGAATCTCTTGAACCTAGGAGGTGGAGGTTGCAGTGAGTGGAGATCGTGCCAGTGCCCTCCAACCTGGGTGACAGAGCAAGACTCTGTCTCAAAAAAATAAAATAAAATAAATCCTTTCTGGATTACTTATAGTACTCGATACAATACAATGTAAATGCTATGTAGATAGTTGTTATGCCGTATTGTTCAGGGAATGACAAGGAAAAAAGTCTGTACACATTCACTAGAGACACTTTTTTCCCAGAATATTTTCCATAGATTGTTGGTGGAATCCACCGGTGTGGAACCCATGGATACAGAGGGCCGGCTGTACTTGTATGCCCCTGTGTGTGTGCATCTGTGAGTGGGTGCGTGTATATGTGTCTGTGCAGTGTGCTTGTCTCTTTGACTTCATCCATCCATCCACCTGGAAAACCAATCCCTGAAGGGGGTCAGGTCCCTACTGGAAATACTGAGATAATTAGACTTAGCCTCTGCCTTGGGAATCTGGTCTGGCAGAGGAAGCAACTAGGTGTTTCCTTCCCAGGGGTCCCCCCAAGGGTCATGCGCAAGTTAGAAAGAGGCTCCCTCTGGGTGGATGGGCCAGAGCCCCAGAGCCTGATGCTGCTGGTTCCTTAATGGAAAAATGTAGGCTGATTTCAGTGATCTGCCTGCCCCCTGAGGGGCTAGGAATCCTTGTGCAGTGCACAACCTGCACACCTGAATGTGGTGGAGGTGTGGTTGAAGTAAGGAAGTCTTGCCGGAGGAGGCAGCTTGTGAGATGGTTCTTGAACAGTAAGTGGGAGCTACCAGGTAGAGGCGGGGCAAGAAGAAGCTACTGCAGTCGAGCAGAGGGAATGGCAAGATCAAATGTGGGGAGGGAGGAAAGGCCCAGGGGCGCTCAGGGGACCAGTGCGACCAGAGTTGCGGCGTGTTTTCACCTTCTCAGACTCCCTTCTGCCTCTTTCCTGCAGTGGGCCCTTTATGTGTGTGGGTCTCTGCCCTCACCTAGTCCTTTCTCTTCCATCACCCCTAGCTCAGCCAGACCCCCGGGCCGGATTGCCCCATCTTCCTGCCCAGTGATTCTGAGTGGGACTGGCTGCTAGCCAAGACGTGGGTGCGCTATGCGGAGTTCTACAGCCACGAGGCCATCTCCCACCTGCTGGAGACCCACCTTATTGCGGAAGCCTTCTGCCTAGCCTTGCTGAGGAACCTGCCCATGTGCCACCCCCTCTACAAGGTACGGGCTTGGGCGAAGGGGCCTCCCCCAGGCATCATGACCCTCACCTGGCCTCGGAAAGCCCCCAGGCCCACTGCACAGTCAGAGAGACTCCAGTCAGCCTGGGGGGGTATCTGGGGACCACAAGAGAGGGCTTGGCATGGGGACTTCCCAGAGTGAGTGGATCTGATATTGCAGAAGTAGGGGGCTGAGCTCCTTTGGGGGCCACTTCAGCCCTCTCTCTTCATCCTCCTCGCTCTCCCCACAGCTCCTCATCCCCCACACCCGATACACCGTCCAGATCAACAGCATTGGCCGGGCCGTTCTTCTCAACGAGGGGGGGCTCTCCGCCAAGGTAAGACTTCCGCCCCCAACCCCAACGAGACATTTGCTTTCCTCTGGCCTTTGCAGTTAGACAAAGAGCAGGACTTCCCACTTGCCTTTTCGTGAGGGGGCGTGAAGGGAGGGAACTGGATGAAGTGGGTTCTCCTCTCAAGAAAGGAGCAGAGGCAGGGCTGGTGTGCTGGCCTGGAGCAGGAGAGTTCCCGGAGGTGGGGTGGGCTGGGTCGGGGGTTACAGGGGCACTTACTGGGATCCTAGAGGACCTGAGGGGGGTGCCAGGGATGCCCATCCAGCTCCAGGATCTGCCTCCTCCCTCACAGGGCATGTCCCTGGGTGTGGAGGGCTTTGCTGAGGTGATGGTACGGGCTCTGTCAGAGCTCACCTATGACAGCCTCTACCTCCCCAATGACTTTGTGGAGCGTGGGGTCCAGGACCTGCCTGGATATTATTACCGTGATGACAGCTTGGCGGTGTGGAATGCACTGGAGAGGTGAGCTCGGGACAGCAGTGGGTGGCTCTCAGGGTGGACACCTTGGGATGTTGGAGAGGGTGTGGGGAAATTCTAGAGACCTGAATGTGGGTCTGGTGCCATCCAGGGGCTTGGCCTTGGGGAAGGGGCCTGGGGTCTGTGTGTCCATCACACCTACACCCTCAGCCTAGCAGGCCCCTTCCTTGCTTGGTTCCCCAGCCCACCTCTGCTGGCCAGACCCCTTCTGGGATCTGAGCTGCCTGTAGGCCTTGCCCATCCCTTACAAGGGAGTGCTCTGGCCTTGCCAAGCCATCCTCTCCAGTTCTGCCCCACAGGACTTGCCCTCCCACAGGCCTGGGGAAGCTCTGGGGCCAACTGAGGTCAGGGCATCCTGGGGGAGGTGGGAGAAGCCTGGCTGAGGAGTGGGAGGGGAGGAGGATCCAAACTGAGGCCCTGTCCCCTGGTCAGGTACGTGACGGAGATCATCACCTATTATTACCCGAGTGACGCAGCTGTGGAGGGTGACCCGGAATTGCAGTCCTGGGTGCAGGAGATATTTAAAGAGTGTCTCCTAGGGCGGGAGAGCTCAGGTATGGGCCTGGACACCTGGGCAATCAGGGGGAGCTGGGGCTGAGGGGCAGCCCCCAGGCAGGTCTGCTAGGGCCCTCCTGGGCTGGATCAGAACATATTTTATTGTGGACCGAAGGAGACCAAACTGCTGCCCTAGGATTTTGACAGGCTCTTCTCCGGCCCCTGGAGCAGTGGCATCTCAGAGAGGCTGGGGAAGAAAACATGGCTGGCAATGGGTCCCTGTCTGAGATTAGGGGCTGTGGGTCATCTCTGCAGAGACCTGGAGGGGTCCCAGCCCCACCCCAGAAACAAATCTTTGCGGACTGTGAAATGGGGTATGAGCTCCAACAGGAAAGGGCAGGAGGCCAGGGAGCTGGCAGGAGGGAGCTGGCAGGAGGGAGCTGGCAGGAGGGAGCTGGCAGCTCCAAGAGAGGGGTGAAAGCGCCCTGAGGTCCCGCCACCTGGGTACACATTCAACAAATATCCAGTGAGCATCCACAATGCAATACTGGGCCGATTATTGAGGAGGCAAAAGGGAAAAAGGCAGGTGGTGAGGGTGCCTGCCTTCAAGGAGTTCATAGTTGGGGGTAGCAGGTATTTCCCTAAAGAAAGTTGTGGGGAAGCCCAGGGAAGGCGCCTAACCCACCTTGGGAAGGGGTAGTGGAGAGAAGATAGGGTGGGAGCAGCAGGCTAAGATCTAGCTGAAATCTAACTTCTTGGCTAACATCTAGCTAAGATCTGCAGGATGGAGAGGTCAGCCTCAAGATGACGGAGGATGGGGATGGAGAGTTCCGCATGGAAGCAGCATGTGGAAAGTCCAGAAAGCCAGAGGGAGCATAGGGAGTTCCAGGAGCTGCTTACTGCAATCATGTTCTCTGCAACTAGAGCTTAGGGTGGGACGTGGGGAGGTTCCCAATGGGCTAAGGCTGAGGCTGTGGGCAGCGGCCAGGCTGCACAGCCTGGTTAAGGGCCAGTGGGAGCTATCGAGGGTTTTGCGAGGAGATTAGGCTTGTATGCTAGAATATCAGGCTGCACTGGCAGTCAGGAGACAGTTAGGGAAGCTGCCATGGTGTCCAGGAGGGAAGACTGGGGACCTGACTAGGGTGAGGGCTGTGGGGACACCACAGAGAATTCCAGAGCTGGAAATGACAGGACTGGGTGATGGTTTGGGTTTGGAGGGAGGGGCCGAGGGCGACTCCACGTTTCAGGCCTTTGCAGCTGGATAAATGATGTATGTCGTCCCTTGAGCTGGGGGCTAAAAGGAGGAGCG